CGCACTTGACGTCATGGAGTTCGCTCTGGACGCCGTAGTAACCCACATTGACTTTCTCGATTCCAATTTAAATCAGTGTTCCTCGGGCATTCCTCTAATGTAATTTCGTTGTCGATATCATACAAGTGCCGTATACGTCCAAAACGTATGGCATATCTATACTTGTCGACATCTTCTTCTGGCAAAGAAAGATATTCTCCTGCTTCAGGTCATGGCGTATTTAACCAATGAAGTAGACGTGAGCAGACGTGAGCAAAAGCAAAAAGAAGTTTTCAGGCTCTTTTTTTGGTAGTTGTTTCCCCGCATTGCGAAAATATCGCAGTGCTGTCCAGAACCATCCAGTTATTCAGAAGTTCCAGAACGCGCTAGAGGTGTCTTTGTGTGTCAAATTTATTCGAAAGTCAAATCACACGCGTGGGTCCCCAATCGCCAGCACGTCGCGCAATTCACAAAGGGCAGAATTAATGTCATTTGGCCCACAACGGCAATTGTCCACCGCTTTGACAGGAAATTCTTTTGTGTATGATACGATGAAAGCAGCAATAGACCAGTTCTTGCAACCCCTTCCAACACGACTGAAGGCATACAGAAAAACACAGTAAGAGGAAACGGTTTGAAGTGAGGCACACAATATCAAGAGGAAAACAGCACTGTGTGAAGAAGCACGTAGTCACACGGCTCCCGAAAAAAAAAAAAAAAAAATGTTTAGTTAAATTATTCCGACTTTTTAGGACATGTGACTTCCGGCACCCCTCACACAGCGAGAGAAGGTGTCCGAGGCACATCAGAGAGTCAAATACCTCATTTTGCGTGGAGCACACACCCATCATTGGCAGCAACCGTTCTTCCTTGTTTGTGTCATTAAATCCCGTCAAAATACGACACTTTCACCACCCATGACAGAAAAACGGGAAAAAAAGTAAAGTGGAAAAAAGTAACGCCTGCGTCAAAGCTTCTCATTCCCCAAGGGTACATGTTGAATGGTGTCCGTGAAAACGCTGGTGATAAGATTCATACCGCTGAGATAAAGGCGTCCGTCTTGCCAAGACATCCATGGCGTTGCAAATTAATGTAATGAAGGCGCCAATTTCGGTTTATATTGACGGAGGTTAATAGAAAACGTCCAATAGTGACGCTTCCATCACTCTCATGTCACCAATCAGAAACACACACAAAGACACACAATAAGAGTAAATAGCAAAAAAAACGATAACCAAGAGGCAATGCATCGTCTGTTGTGTCTCTCCAAAAAAGACAAATATTACACGTGATAGCGTGCAGCATGATTCGTCCACTAAAATGGAAAAAAGTGATTCGTCTTACTTGTGCAGTTTATCATCATTTGCCCTGTGCATAAACGCCGGCATTGGTGTGGCTCGCTGCTGAAGCTCCTCCGGAATGCGTATTCCCTCTCCAAGAGCAGGAAGTTCACGTGGGTGCATGCCCTTCACATAAGGCACCACATAAGTCCCCAGCCATGACCAAAACAACATAAATGCAAAAAAAAATTTCCACGGAAACGACTGAAGTTGCTTTATACGTGCACGCCACGGCAGCGTTCGGTTATTTTCCACACGCTGACGGTCGCGATAAAGAGCCTCGGCCAGGTCAAAGCGTTCCTTCCCCAACTTGGTACTACTCATCGCGTGGTGTGTTGCACGCCGTGGCTGTCAGCGCTTCACATATTTACTTTAACAAAGTGTCACGGACAATGCGGAGCGCAACATCGTTTTACTACCTTCTTCCCCCTTTATCCTTCTGCATACTGCATTATATCACAATACAAACAAAGTAACAACAACAAAAGAGTACAGGTGGGCTATAAAAGAATAAATTCCTCCACAGAGGGGACAGAAACACAGAGACATATAAGTGTACCGTTTATTTACTCCAAATTGCCTGAGAAATAGAACAGATGGCTGTTTATCCCTGCAAGAAGGGCAAGAAAAAAATGTTTTAACGGACCAATAAACTCCGTTCAAAAAAGGTGCGGCAAGAATTCATCTACCACATGTGGGCACCCTAACTCCTACATTCATTGATGTCTTGCAACGCAATGGGAGGATTTGTTGACGCATCGCGCCATGCCACCTAAAAAACACTTCGCAAATTTTCCATTTTTCTCAATCCATGCACTGCCTTCACTGGAGAATCGATTGCACTCCTCCGAAGGTCATTCGTTTAGAAAATGCCGCAGGCTTCCTCCTGCAAGACAAGAAAAACCCTAGCTGCAGATGCAGCAGCTGCATCTCCGTGTGTCGAATATCTGGTACCACGCGTATCATCGCACTGCCCTCACCTAGCCAATTACTCTATCCCAACGCTTCCTGTAACATCTCTATAATTCTCCCACGGCGGCATTGCAGATGGATGATGACGTCTTCCAACTCTCTTTATTCGGTTGTTGGAAAATGCATTTATCTTGGAGAAGCGCACCCAGCACCTGGAAGCCTTGCAGCTTTACCCAAAAATCGTCAATTTTCTCATGCTACGCTACGCGTTCCTGGCAGACCCGTGTCATATTTATTTATTATTTTTTTTTTTTTTTTCGGGAGGTTGTGAAGAAATTGTTCGCAGGGCAAGCTAACTATCCAATTTAATATGTATCCTGATAAAGCGAACCATTTACGACCTTTTTTTTCTAGGGGCTTGTGAAAAGAATGATCGCGGGAGAGCTGGCTAACTTAATTAATGTATGTTTACATCCTGATAAATGAAGGCATTCTTTATGATACTTTCAACCGTGTGAATCTTTTGGGAAGAACGCAACTTTGTAGGGGCAGGGAGCCGATAGTGGCTGGATAATATTTGTTTTTATTTTGCCACCCCACCCACCCCCTTTTGATTCCCACCACGCGGCGGGGTCTTTTGGTTGGAGGACCCCAAAGTCTGCCACTTCGTAAGTAATAATATGTAAATCCTAACTGAGGACAAAGGACCATGCTAGTGGTCCACAGAATTCTATATATATTGAATGAAAAGAAAAAATTGAAGCAATTAACTAACGAACCTTTTTTCCTAAATTGTTTGGTTTCCATAGATTTTCAGGATCCGGCCAGCTGCCCGGAAGATTATTCTATTTTATAGACTTTTGGTTGACCGCGGTGGAAGGACTAATGGAACTGTTAACGTCTAGATAATTTATAATCTTTTTTTTTTTTTTTTTTTACAGCCGCGCCTGATTCCCGCAAGTTGTTTGAGAGAAATGACAGTGTTTCCCTTTACTCGGTGACGCGGTGGACCGACACTGGCGCCCACATGTTAGACTTGGTACGCAACCATGGCGATATACAGGTGCAGCTCACCTTTGTTGATGAAAACGGGCCGTCGGATGCAACGTTAACAGCGGCCACCCCGATGACAGGCTTACGCTTGGTTTCGGAATCTACCACCAAACCCTGGGAGGATTCGAGCCTTACAGGACATGTTGCGAATCTCCGGGCGCCCCAAATCCCTAATTTCGAGACACAAGCGCTCCTGCCCATCGTGTGGGTGCGGCCCGGGAGTTGGGGGTCCAACAAGGGCTCCTCATTTCTGAAAGGGAGCGATTGATCGCTGACTATGCCCACGCCGTCGCGGACGTACAGAATCGAAATGCTCAGCTTAACTCGCAGGTTGAGGAGACGCATAACAAACTATCGGCATGCGAATCTCACATTGCGGTCTCCGGCGGCCACTTTCCTTCACGATCATAATCTGACTCCGTGTGCGTGGAGAGCGTGAACCAAGCGGCTTCACACTTTGACGGGTTAATGGCCAGGCCATTTTCCTGACTCCACGCATGCAGTTTTTTAAGAACCATGTTGGCAGTGGGAATGGCGTCTTCCCGGGACTGCCCCTTAACGATAATAGAGAGGTCGTCCGCATACATGTCTGCTGTGACATCCGCAAAGCTGTTCAGCAGATTGAGAAGTGGGTGTACGTAAAGGGAGAACAAATATGGTCCCAGTACGGACCCCTGAGGAACTCCTCGCAGCATGGGACGCCGATCGCCGTGTCTGTTACCAACTCGTGTCTTCGCGTAGCGACCACATAGAAAGTTTCTAAGCCACCTTCTACAATTCACCCCCGGAATATTGGCCAGCAAGCGACTGAGGACTCGATGATCTATGGAGTCAAAAGCCTTGCTGAAATCAACCAACACCAGCAGAGTCCGATGGGGTCTGTAGTGGAGTTGATTACCAATACCGCTCTTCTTGGGAAGGTTCACTTGAAAATAATGATTTCTATTATGCTCCACTTCGTGTATCAGGTGTGCCGGCTGCATCGTCGAGGTACGCATACTACGATATGCATACTGGTGGGGGTGAGGCGTCCACACCCAAAGCAATCTCTTCAGTACCATTTTCTCAGCAACCTTACTCACAATGGAAGTAAGGCTGATGGGTCGATATGACTCAAGCAGTTCCGGCGACTTACCGGGTTTTAAGAGTGGGACGATGGTAGCGCGTCTCCACTCAGCCGGGATCGTACCGGTCGTTCAGCTGTGGTTAATGCAGCGAAGAAGGAATCGAAGACCCTTTGACGAAATATGTCGCAGTGCCTCACTGTAGACTTCATCCGGTCCGGGGGCCTTGCCATACGGCGTATTACGTAGCGCAGCAAGCAGTTCCGTACGATTAAAAGGTGCATCAAGAGGGGAGTGAAGATGAACAACTAAACCAGATGTGGTGGCAGCTTCGTTGTTATCCTGTGGCTCTGAATTAGATGAGAATGAAAAAACTGAAGTAGATGTTGCGGCAGACTCGTAGTTGTTCTGCGGCTCAGAAATACAAGAGATAAGAGAGGTAGAAGAAACTAAGCTAGATGTTGCGGCAGACTCGCTGTTATTCTGCGGCTCAGAGCTAGAAGAAGTAGAAGAAAATGAAGTAAATGAGGCAGCAGACTCGTTGTTGTTCTGCTGCCCAAAAAGAGAAGAAGAAATAATGTTCAAAGATGTGTTCTGTCTTTTGATGCCTTTGGAAAACCTAACTGCCTTGTGAGAGGGGTAAAATGGTAAAAAGATGCGATTGAGAGCATTCGCTGCTCTCCTTGCTGTTTTATAAGTGTGTTGACCATCTCCCAACAACAATGATGTAGGAGATGGAAGTGATGCCTTTTTTCGTCCGGAAATGTATTTCCATGCGAGTGGTTCGCTTGGATTTAGCTTGCTGATGCGACGTAGATACGTGTTACGCAGGCGCTCTCGGAGTAGGAGGAAGAATTGACTCCTTGTCCGTTGCATTTCTGCCTCACGGTCGGGCGTCGGTAACTGTAGATAGCGGGCCTTGCTGTCGGTAGCAATCCGCTCTGCCTCCATGAGAGTGTCGTCCCAAAGCCTGGGACCATCCTTGTGCATGCCGCGGGGGCAATGTCGTCGATACGAAGTAATAAGCGCTCTCGTGAAAGCTTTAATGCCGGTGGACTGCTTTTTATAGTCATATGCCGGAAGTTGTGCGTCGAAGTCCTTGATGAATAAATCCCATTTGCACTTCCCCCAACTGTAGAATGCCCTAGGTGCCGAAGGGGGTGCCGAAGGTATGGTATCCATAAATGCCTGATGCAGCGTAAATGTTAGCATATAATGATCACTGAGCGGCGACACAGAAGCTGACCAATCTGACACAGTCAAATGCTTTGACCATGTCAGATCGATACAGGATCGTTCTCTTGTGCCACGAGCATACGTGATCTCACCAGGGGTGTTAACCAAGGTGAGTCCCGCATCCGTGCACAGTTCTAAAAACTCTGCAGCAACCTCGGTTGGAGAATTCCTCAAGAAGGGCTTCCACTGTGGGTGATGCATGTTGAAATCCCCGCACAGCAGGAGCGGCGACGAGGCTGGAAGGCAGTTTACTAACCGCCTGAAGGATTGCGTTACTTGCGGTGGTGGTCTCATATAGGCACTCGCGAGAATAAGATCACGGTCCTTGTCCAGAGCAACCTGGGCCACCACCACTTCAAGGCTGGTGCCATGCTGGGGGATGGTGAGAGGTATACGCTTGGAGCGGAGAGTTTTCCGCACCAGCACCGCCACACAGCCTCCCTTGCCGATGCGCGACTGTGCATAGAGCACATAATCTCCAGTATGCATACTGGCGATCTGCTCCGACGACTTCCAATTCTCCTGGATGGCTATCAATGTCTGCTCCTTGCGCCATTAATGTTGCGAGTTTTGACGGCGTGAGGCAAGAAACGTTCATCTGGAGTACTGCTATGGGGCCTGGGTTCTGCTCAATGTCTCCGCTTAGCAGTAGCTTTTGTCGTTCCGCGTCACATACGGCACGCAAACGGTATGTATAGCGCTGAAGAGTGCCGATGGAATTCAGCAGCGGATGGAAATACCGCTCCGCGGGCAACCATGTACATGGCTCCATCTGCTGCCCTTCCGACCCGTTTGTGCGGCGCCTCATGCCTCTCCGCGTGCAGCGGATGGGCAGCAGGCGCCTAGCTTCCTCTCTAGCAAAGAGTACTAGACCCTGGCACAACGTTGAGGTGTCCGACTGCAACAGGGGCCTTTCCATTTTTTTTTTTTTTTTTTTTTTTTTTTTTTCTTCTCTTACCAGTCGTAGTAACTACACCTCAATTGTGCAGCTCTGGTAAGCGTACGAAGGAATTCAGCAGCAAGGATAGCCTTACTCCGCGGGCAACCATTATAGAATGGCTCCAACATCTGCCCTTCCGGCCCGTAAAACTAAGTAACAACTACTCATCGGGTTTGAAGCATGAACAGCAGGCGCTTAGCTTCCTCTCTAGCAAAGAGTACTAGACCCTGGCACCACGTTGAGGTGACCGGCTGAGCCAGGGGCCTTTCCATTTCACTTAGGTTCTCGTGGTCTATTCTTTAAGCCTGTGAGGCAGTGGTGACGTAAAGCTGAATTTGCTTCGCCACCTCGCTGATCATTCAATTCGACTCATCCTGCAATAAAATGGGTCGTTCTTCGCATTTCCGTATTTGCAGCTCCTCGTCTTGGGGTTGATCTCGAGAAACATCAATGGTCATTTGTTGGAGAGAATTCTGCGTCACAGCCAGCTGCCAATAATTAAAAAAAAAGTTCTTGAAAGTTTGGTTCTCATTTGAGAGGAAAAGCAACTCATCGTACAGGCGGTGTACCTCCCGTTGAAGATGTCGACTCCTTTCTTCATATCACCCTGGTGGTCGGGTGTGACAAATCCAAATAAGGAGCGTGAAAAGAGCATGAATACCCTTGGAGGAGTCCCCGGCAAAGATGCCTCCACGGCTTTAGTTCCCTGCAACCGGTGACGAGCTTAGAGGAGGATTCTTTTTGCCGTACCATGTTGATGCCCATTGCAATGAGATGGGTTTTTGGGTGCCCGTGCCTCGCTCGGCACTGCGGAGATGGCTGGACAGCTCACTCGCAGAGGGGTAATAAAAGCATCTGCTGAAGCTGCAAGTTGCCGCTAACGTCATCATCATCATCCGCATCCACAAAAAAAAAAAAAAAAAAAAAATTCTTCTTTTTTTTTTCTTTACAGGGCTGTAAAGAGCACTTCCGGGCTAAGAAGAAGAATAATAACAAAAAAAGTAGAAATCACAATGCCAGGCATTTTTCTCCACCATTTTTCTGACACGTGGACAGTTCCCCTCGCAGCCTCTCTGAGGTAGCTATACCCCTCGGATAGGACGGATGCACCACTTCTTGTCCTCCTCGTGGTATGGAAATAAACAACCACAATTATTTTTTTCCCCCTTATTCTGCGTTCTCTCTTCGTGATGCGCCTACAGTACATTTATGCCATGTGAGCAGACATTGTCCTTCCCTGTGAACGTCCCTTTTGCAAACCTCGTCGACACCTTCAATTGCACTGAACTCTTCGTGGCGGATGCTAACAGTTGCATCGGTTTCCAGCATTACAATTCGGTGCATCGGTTAAAACGCCTCCGCTTCCGTTGTACGCTTCAGCAATAGCAAAAGAAAGAGGTCGCTGCTAGCATCGTCACCCGCCACAAAGCAGATACCTGTTTCAGAAGCTCCTGACAACAACAACGCCCGGTTTCGGGCAAGGCTTCATTTTACTTTGCTATTTTGCCAAGGGCCAACGCGAAAAAAAAAAAACGTGTTTCTTCTCTTTAAACACTCCCTTCGTCCTTTCTTTCCCATTTCCAGCACTTCCGCCGCTGCTACCCTCACTTCTATCGTCCATGGCGCAAAAAAGTGCAAAAAAAAAAAAGCAAGGGTCGGTTTTCTGAGCACAGCTGTTCGGTGGCAAACATGTGCCGAGTCATACGCGGAGAAAAGCAGCTGTGCAGTAAAAAATATTTAAAGAATATATATATTAAATTCTAGCCAGGGGCAAAATCAACAAAAAAAGGCTTTGCGTCAAGGTGTAAGTAAAAACCTAACATTCAATAGAGTACACACATACACACCTGCACATTCACAGAGTGAGACATTTATTGAAGGTTTAATAAATGTGCAGGTTTCAACAACAACTGGCGTATTCCAATTCAAAGTGGAATCGTCGTGGCCTTTGTACGTGGGTCCCTAGAACGGTACATAAGAACATACGCAATGTGCGCCTCACCAACGCCACTCAGACGCTTGACGTCTTCCTCTGTCACAGAGGCCACGTGCTCATCATCGTAGACAAACCACTGATCCTCAGGCTTACCCCAGAAGACGTAGTGCCCACTCTCTGCACTTCGGCCCTTGTGGGAAATTACACCACAAAGTTCATAGTAACCACTCTTATTGCCAATTTTATGTGCGTCACCTGCCATCGCCCCAGTTGACACCTCTTCTGCGTTTGTGGTAACGTCAAATTGTGTCTTTTGCCGGGCTTGACGACGTCGCTCAAGCTCCTTGTCTCGCCGAGCCAACACCCTGCCTCGTTCCTCCTGCATGCTTTCCTTTAGTGCATCCGTACAGAGAGTAAAGGTATCTAGTACCAGGGGGAAGGAGACTGGCTTGAGTATTTTGGCCTTCTTTTGAGTATCTGCCCTCCATGAAAAACGCACAAGATGCACAAAA